GGCTAACTTGGAAGGTTTAAAAGTTCAGAGGCTGTGTAAGTGCCCATTTTGTATATGCAAATAGTTTAGCTTTTTTCGTGCCACAACATAAACTTCTGTTCTTAAGACTTCAACATTCTAATACCAATGTGTTCTAGATTTAGAAATTAACTTTTGACTAAGTGGTTAAACTAAAACGCTAGCAAGTGATTAAAAGGCTAATATTTAATTATATATGTAGGAATGTTTTTACAGGTTTTAAAAAGGTAAATAGTTGACTAAACATTTTCCTTAAATGTTTAGCCACTGATAAACATTCGTAGAAAGTCTTTATTTTTATCTAGGATGAACGTGTAGTAACTTGTGCAGATGACATTTTTTTTCTAATATTAACGTCCATGTAAAATAAGTTTGAACTAACAAAAGTTAGCTCTAACGGTAGCTTAAAAAGTCAGGGTAACTACACAAATGAATACAAACCTATATGTTTATAAATAGTTTCAAACAGGTTTCAGACTACGTTAGACTGGCATACGCCGTGCCCAAAACTTTTAATTTTAGCATCCAACAGCTTCTAAGCCTGTAACGCATCTTTACTATTCAGTGTTGTAGTGGCTTTAATTTATACTCTATCGTAACTTTTAATACAACCTATTATCAGATGTTCATAAATATTAAAATTGTCTAGTATATAAACTGATAAAATATAGCAGAATTACAGAATTTGTAGATTGACGGTACAAAGCTATAAATCTCGCAGGTTTTTATTACAGAACGTTTTTGATGTCTTAAAATTTATAGGCAAGCAAGATTACTGCAACTAATATTACAACCATAATGTTCTTAGTGTGACGTTCGAGAGCGGTAGTGTGGCTGGTGTGACCTTCAGTGACCTGGTGTTACTGAACCAGACAGCAGTCATCACAGGTAATTTATCCATTGATTTTATGAAGTTTTAAGCTACTTTTTATTCCTTCGTCGGTCGTCACGAAATTGCTTAATTGGGTGAGGTTTTTGCAGGCTAAAGGCATTTGGGGACTTTTTTTTTTTTTTTTTTTTTTTTTTTTTTTTTTTTCCTGACAGATGCATCCAAGTTTGGGCAACACTTGAAAGATTCTTGTAATGGCTGTTGCACCCAATGAGGAAAAGTTATTAATGCACAATTATTAATGCACAATTAAGACGGGGCAGGTTGACTATAAGAACATAGAGAAACACTGCAATAGGCCTGTTACCCCATACTGGACAGATCCTTTACAAATCCAACCCACTAACAGAATATTTGCCCAAATGACAAAAGTATTTAGAGAATAAATATGCACAATACCATGATTGGGAAAAATGCACTAACCCGCATACACGCTTGTAACAGTTTCAGTACGACTTGCACCATTAACTAGTCACACACAAGAGCTTCTGTGTGACAGTGGTTAGTCTGACCGAAACTTATCAGGTTTCTCCTAAATGCAGGTTATTTAGCTTTCAATGCTGTAGGACCCTTTTGGGTTTAGCGCTTTGTTTGATTATATTTAGCTTCCCAACTTCCAATATGGCAAAGTTCATGATAGTGGTTAACGCCAACGTGGGATGTAGTGGGAGCTTAAGTACTTGTTGAAGATGTGTATCTTTACATTCGAGACTTTGAGACTTTATCAACTTTTGTTGACATTTAGAATAAAAATAGTTACGCAGTAATGACTATTGTGTGTCTAGGAGTATTCAGAAAACCACACTAGTGCCCTTGTCTATTAATAACTAAACTGTTCTTCCGCCAGGAAAGAAAAGATTCCAGGAGGTGGTTGTGAAGGAAGGCGAAGTGAAAGTACGCAGTCTCGAGGTGGACTTCGTAAATGATGTAAACATCACAGCACTCTTTCTCCACTCGCTCAAAAAGAACTCTGGTTAGTTAAATTGATAGGTAATGTTGCTATTAGCGTGTTCTGCGATAGGCAGCCTCGCACGATATGGCATTTCATAGTATTGATTAGTAAGATGACGGTAGGTTTTGATATTGTAATCTGCAGGCGGTGCCCAGGTGTTAAGTGCATCCGTGAAGCTAAGAAAGCTGCTGGTGTTGCGGAACTTGACAACGAGAGGCTTCAGCGCACTATCTTCTAACGAAGTCTTTGACATATCCAGGTAAAACATGACTAAAGTTTTTAATGCAAATCTTGAGGTTTCTAATAAATGACTATTACTTCCTGCTTAAGTAAATTTCCTGGTAGTTTGGAATCTGAGTTTTCGGCTCACCCCCAGATTATATAAAAGATTCCTTGATTATGTAGAGCACCATAATAAACAAAGTAACTTACCAGTATTTGTCCCGGTCCTAGGATACAGCGTCATCTGGTGTACCTGGATCAGACTACCATCATCTCCGGCAAACTACTACTCAAAGGTGCCACCTCAGTCGCCATGTTCACCTTCCTCGGTAAGCTGTTGTACATTATGTAGCTTTGGATAAGGTAAAAATATCCAGATAGTTATTCGTGCACATTTGCAGGATTATTTGTGCATTCCCTTGCAGATTAAAAAAAAAAACTCCCCCTGCTTAGAATAGTTTTAATATTGGCAACGGAAATCCAAAATAATTTAACATTTTCCAAACTCCTCAGGCACATTTGATGGTGTACCAGCAACGCGCTACAAGACCGAATGGCTGCTGAAGACGCTGGATCAGGCCATCTGGAGTAAGGTAGTTTTATCTGCAATGATCTGCGGTAATGTCAACACAGCGCCAGGCGTGAAGATCCAGGGAGTAGATCTTGCACACTTCCTAGGCTCCAGCTTAGTGATTACGGAGTCTGAGGTTGTGCACTTCCCAGTGATTTTTGGTGAGACTGAAATGCAAGAGACCTGGTTTTTAATAGAATTTATTTACAACACTAGAGCTAAAGTAATATACCTCTTGACGCTGGGTCACCCAAGTGATAACTGGGTAAGAGACCTAGCACACATTGTTCGCCCTGATCAGCGACTTTACACTGGTTTGATTTTTTCCTGCAGTTGTGGTAATATAATCTGCAGTGTTATAATAGCATCGTAACTATTGATAGTTAATTTAAATATCTGGAAATGGGTAATGGCAATGCATATGTTAGTTGTAAATAACCAGGCAGCTTTGATTTGTAGAACCTACAGTCATGTTAGTAAATTAACTAGGCTTGCGCCATTGTAGTGTTTTAATTTAAATTTAACAAATTACCTTTTGCAAGGGAAAATGTTTAATAATTATTTTGGATATTTAAAAGTAATTACAATACTCATTTTTCAGGTGAAGTGATATCGTCGTGGGTGAGCGTCTCAGGGTTGGTGCAGGGATGGGATCTCTCAGAGGAATCAGTCCTCGGTACAGCATCGAACGTAGTCTTCACAGCCTCCAAGACTTTTCTTGCCTCTGTCAACATCAGCGGCAGCTTCCTAGCCACGCAGGGATTCAGCGGAGTCGACCTAGATTCCCTCTGTGGCCACATCTCCGTACACACGCTAAAAGTTCATGGTAAAACAATTGTCCCCAAAAAGCGGGCATTGGTTTATGCAGCCTAAATTTTAAAATTTGCAAGATAAATTTTGGAATCCTGAACTTAAATATTTGAATTTGTGGAGGGGGAAAATGTACTGCAGAAAGTAATATAATGCTGTAAAGCCAACAGGCTGCAACCCCAAACATTATTTAATCATACATGTATAATTTAAGCAGCATCAACATTATTCATACTTGTTCATAATGTGAAATAAGGAACCAGGTGCCCCGCAGCAGGTTACTTACGTCTGGCAGGAACAATGGAGCCACAATAACCTTGGTACCGTCCTACAGGCACAGTGACTTTCATTAGAAATGTGAGCTCGTACTTTGTGCACCTGGGACATTACGGGATCACGGATGGGGCCATGAAGGAATTCTGGATGAAAGACGAGAATATTATCCTAAGAGAGAGTATAACAATACAGCTGCTAGAAGCTACTAATATCTACCTCATCACAGTAAGTAACTATTGTTTTATTAAAGGTGGGGCACCTTGATGGCACTGTAGACCTCTGAGCCATGAAAATGGCGCAATCTACCATTCTCTTGGCTCAAACCTTTGGATCAAACCTTCCTGCATCCCATTCTCCAGGAGCTGTATGATCCCTAAGGGATTTGTGGTACTATTTCAAATAGTTATTAAAGCAGAGTATATCAAGGGTGTGCTGCTGCCCTGCAAAAGCTACAATTCGACATGTACTTTTAGATGGTTTTTGCGTATCAGGTAATATGTCAGTCAAGACCTTCAGACGATTAAAATGTCAATTTCTATTTTTGTGTAAAATAGCTATTGGGAATTACCCTTTCTCACAATGATAAAATAGAATTATAACAGGAAAATAGTTTTTTTGGCGCAAACTTGCTGTTGCAATAACTTCATTGTAGCTTGAAAATCACAAAACATTTCACGGATGCTGAGCTAAAGAATTTAAGTTGACCCAAAATAATTTAGGCAGGAATTCATTAATGCTAATTTCAGAAATTAAATAAATTAAAAGGCACAATACCGTGACTGGAACAATACACAAATAACCCGCACATAGAAGAGAGGATCTTAAGACGTCGTAAGCTCCTCTTTTATATGCGGGTTATTTGTGTGTCTAATTTCAGAGGTAATAAATGTTGCTTAAGCTAATCTGGCGCAAATAAAATTCATTAAAATGTGCAGTTAATGTGACACTTGGTGTTTTTACGCTCGACAGTCTCTCAATATTGAGAGCCTGGAAGAGGCCAGATGAAAGATGTCGTAAAAATGGACGTCAGTCTTAATTTACTCTTATTTCACTTTTGGGAAGTTGCTCACACATGTAAGCACTGCCGAACATTGCCGTAACTTTTTTTTCCTTTTAGATTGATTTACCAAGTTGGTATATATAGCAGTTTTAAGAAATTTCTTGTAGAACTCTAGTATACAAGCCCGTTGCATTAAATTTTGACCTTAATCCATCGCTGCACTGAATCTCAAGTTACACTTTAACATTTTCTGGTGCGATGTCTGTCCACGTCAAATGTAGTAGCAAACAGCCTGTGAAGTCACGTATGTCACAAATGTGTTTTAATTTTTAAACACGCACTGGGTTGTAACACCGCCGACAGTCTTCCCGCCACAGCTGATTTTTCCAGGCTTCACTCTGCGCTTGATCTGGAATTAAAAATGACTGAAGCCCTTAAAAATTGGCCTGGGTTGATATAATCTCTTCAGGGACTGCGGGCCGGTATATTTCGGGTTGTGGGCCGGGTCCGGGACAAGAGCCATAGATTGTCGACCCCTAGATGTAAAGAGAGACGCAACAGAACAAGGGATGGGAGGTGTATGTTGTAAACTTTTTGAAGGTTAATTGCGTATATTCCTTCTCGTAAAGAAATTCCATCTTATAATGGAAGTATTTTTTGATTGGCAGGTCAACGAGGTAGACTTGCTGGACTTGAGTGCTCATATTCTGCACCGGAATTTCAGCAGCACTCAGATCGTGTCTGGAGTCTTCACTTTAGACTTCCTCAATGTCAATTCCTTGTATGTGGACACGGTAAAGGTAAGGATCGATAAGAATAGTTATTTAGTGTTGAAAATAGCACGAGTAACCTGGTTTCCAAATAAGCAAAGATATTTTTTTCTATTAAAGTTAAGCTAGCACTCCAAGTATTTTAAAATAATATAACAGGCATTGAAACTGAGTTTTGGGTTACGGCCTACTACTGCAAGGTCATTAAGGCTGAATTTTAACTATACACAAATAAAAAAATATTTAAATATCTAAATTGGGTATTAAATTGCATACACACTCGTAGCTGTATAAACACTTGTGTACAATAGACAAAAATCACCCTTAGTTTTTGTACTTGTGCCAAACAAGGCTTATTTGTTCAGTATTAATGTATTAGTCGTGAGCAGAAGTTCTAATCATTCGGAATTTCATATTGATTGCTGTAACCTTTATCTTCAGACTGACACCTTGAATGGTGGCTCTGTGAGTGACTTGCTTAACATCTTTACTATTGATGAAGGCCAGGTCGTCACTGGTCACTGGAAGCTGAGAAACTTGCGTATGCTTGGTGAGTGCATCGGATCGAGTGCGATAATCAGTTTTAAGCTGATTTTCATGCATATTTTATCTATTTATCCTTTAAAGAAAAATGGATAGTCACTACTGTTAACAAATTGTAGACAACCTAAACAGTTGCATGATTCTGATTGTCTACTGTTGATTTAAGCCAGTCTGCTTGAACTCTAAAGAGTAAAACTTCTTAAAACACAGGTAACCTAATGACATCAGGGCTGGTGAACGGAATGAGGATGACTCGGTTCTGTCAGATGAGGCAGAAGTGTTTTGTTCATACCAGAAAGACATTTACTCAAGACCTATCAGTCGGTGGAAACCACTACGTCCTAGAAGAAATGTAAATTATAAATTGGACTTCTCTAGGAGTATCTTTGGGATTCACTATAAATACCAACACTAATATTACTGCTTCTACCTGCAATGTTCAATCAAATACTATTGAATAATACTAATAGCTACACTAATGCGTATTAACTCGTTGATATATTTAGTTTGTCTATCGTGCTGTCGTATCTTAAAATAGATTATTACTGCAGGAGAGTGCAGGACGTGGACGTGTCTGAATCCTTTAGCTCTGTGGTGAGTGAAGAATCCTGTGGGTACATCCCTGGGCTCACCACCTTCAAATACTCCTTAATCATCGACGAGAACGCAGTGTTCAATCTCGACGCAAGGTAAGTCTTTATAGTACGTCCTTCGAATTTTACTTAAGTACTCCACTAACAAATCTGCTTATTAACACTGAAAATGCTGAGAGTCCATCACTCACAAAATAAACGTGAAGTAATCTGCAGTATAATAAAAAAAAAAGGGCCATTACATTGCTTTAAAAAAAATTAGTTATATGGAATTATTTTAGACTTTAACTAGTCAAAATAAATTAAATATTTAAATCTTTAATCTTGCATATTCAATTTTAATTTAATTGTTTTATATTGTGTATTGGCCACCTGTTCCTTAATCATCTGAAACAAGTTTTTTGTAGCGTAAAGAAGAAACGGGAATAATACTTGTAGATGGCAGGCTTTTCATTTAGCACTTTCAGATGGCACTGTGCGCTGAACAGTAACTAAAGTTTACAAATGTTAATTAACTAAAATTTGATTATAAATGACAGATTCTAAATTCTGCTAAAAACAAGTCCTTTACCAGTACAAAGTTTAGTGAAATACTAATTACGGAATTTAGCTTCTATGGTCGGAATTAAATGTCAGTTTATTAAAATTTTAAAATCTCCAGGAGCAAATATAAAATGTTACCACATGTATATAATGAGTCTCGTGTAAACCGTGACGTGAGGAAGACCCATCAAAGAAAACCAGGGGGTTTATTTTTGCAGAGCAATGTTTAGACTTTAAAGTAATTGTAAAATCTTGAAAAGGCAAAGCAAATTTAAATAGTCATTGAATAAGTCAATAGCAAACCTTCAGTTAAAAAGTAAATTATCTCGGGAGACGCGTGAAGCAATGAAATTAGATCAAACTCGGTTTAAAAAAAAAAATACTGAATTTACTTCAGCGAAAGAAAATCAGTAATTAGGACACCGATCACTTTATTTAAACTACATTTAGTGGTAACAATAGAAACTTTAAAATAGCACCACAGGTGTTCATAAATGACTGTTCGCTGCTTTATTTTTCGTTATTTTTGAAATGGCAGTGTATACTGTTATCTGCTTTATAATTTGGTCCAAAATGGAAGTAAACAGAAATGTCTATACAGAAGTGGTGGTCCACGAGTTATTCTTGGTAACGGAAAATATTCTTAGATCACTGGCAGTGGATCATAGTCCGTAGAATTGATGTTTTATTTTTTTTATTTTTTATTAGAACAAATACAAGGATATATGAGTATAATAAAATTAAAAACTAATCTGGATATTTACAATAACCTCTATTACACAATCCCAGTACAGAAAATACACTATAGATAATGGCCATATTACAACCAGATACACAACCCACAACAGATCCTGCAAACCCCTCCTTTTACAATAAATGCCTTTACTAGTGCACACACTCAGCTGACACTTCTCCCCCCCCCCTTTAAAATATTTACGTTCACCGTTCTAAGAAACATACCATTAATTATCCTAAAATTTAGGATCATAACCTGACCTCATCAAAAACTTAATGAGTATTTACCAAAAGTTGGTGGTGCATGAACAACAAAACACAAACAAAAAAATTAGACTAAAACAGATATGAACATTGCATGCCAGTACACCCATACACCTTTATAAGTAGAATATACACCGACGTTATATAATATCAATATTAATGTAAACCATGAAATTCAAGCTTTTATAACATTGCATAACGTGAAGTTCACGCTTAAAATACAAGAAAATACACCACATGCAACATTATCGGTAAAATACTAGGATATGTAAATATTTCAAAAGAATCCAAGACTGACATGAATAAGATTATCCAAATGTTTCATCGTGATTTTACTAAGCTAACAACACCATACCAAACTCCTTACAGCATCTAACACGCCACATACAAACATACCAAAACTCAACACGCATTCCACCAGACTAGACTTCGCTATGCCTTCTGGCACGTGCCTAACTAGTATTACATACAAATAAATATACAATGAATATTAATTTAGGTTGCTAATCCTTATTCACACATGATTACATAATAGGTAATTACTTCAAAAGTGATGCAGGAACATGTTACAAAAATTGCAAAACTCAATGTTTCAAGGAACATGGTGAAAGGAATACCCTCTCAAGAAAAGTTAAAATTCACTTGCAAGACCAATACAAGCGGGACATAATTCGCTACCAAAGAAAATATTCATGTTATACATTTTATATATTTCGTAGAATTGGAATTGGCAGATACGTGCAAAACTCATTTTTAAGAAGAGCATAAATATGAAAAATTAAAATCGGGGAGAATAGTTCGAAAATAACTTAAGAGAAATTAGCAGTATAGAGGTAGAGCAAAGTTTCATTAGCGGCTGATTGTGCTCAGTCGTGCTCGGGGTTCTTCGATGTCTTAATATTTTTTTCTTTCAAATTTCAGTTGATTTTGAGAATGTGGTGGTCCTATATTTATGCAGTCTAAAAGATTGACTATAACAAATTGTACAAATACTTAAACTATCAAGCTTGTAAATATTCTAGTCGTACCATTTGTCAAAAACAAGTACTGCACTTGTGAAATATAAATACCAAAATTAGGTGTAGGACGTTATGAAATAGGTAAAATAAACTAGTTTGATTAGCAATTTTGTGAGGCCTGAAGACGTGAACACTATAGTTTTAAGCCAGTGCAGTTTAACTTCAGTGTGTCTTTGGAAAGACTAGGTAACAACAAAACGGGGGCAATTTTTTAATCTAATGCTCGACATTTTCTATCAGTGAAATGACTGTGTATGGGCTGGTGGATGGCGTTAACATGACCACATTGATTCTAATGACCGTAAATGATGAACAGGTCATTAAAGGCCACTTAACAATAACGTCAGAAGGTATGTACTGAACAGGTTGTAACGTATTTTGCTTCATTCTCTGTCTGTAGGCTCGGCTGGGAGATTGTAAAGTCCGTGAGACAAGTACCCCCCCCCCTCTCTAAGTATATTTAAGACCATATTCAGAGGATTTAGGTCTTTACTCTGTAATTTACAATACCTATGAACTTCTACTGTGCATGCAGGTATCGCCTTGGAATCTGATGTCATGGCGGATAACGGGTTGTTTAACAACTTCAACCTGACAGAGCTGTTAGAGCGATCGGTAAGTAGTTTCTGCTGATGGGTATTGGCATCTCTTTAAAATACATGGTTAATTTACCCCAGTATGCAGTAGCGTAACTTAGTAGTGTCTGGACTTTGCATAGATGGCTGTCTAGATAATGTCAATATATACACAACTTTAATTCTCTGTTTTAGGGATTAAAGTATTGTTGCTTGTTAATCTAATGTCTAGATTAAGTAGACCTAAAGAGCACTGCTGGAAATCTACGGCCTGCAGGAGGCCTACTCATGAAGCTTCTTTGTAGTGCATCGCTTGTAAGAAGTTAAAAAAAAAAATTACATCCGTAGTTTAAATAGCTCATGAAAAGGCCCTCATAGTATGAGATATTCAGTTTTGGATTCAAGTTTTGAATAAAATATAAAAATTTAGTTTTAAGCCTACTCAGATTGTGGGAATATACATTAATTACATTCATTGAGGGATACTTTCCGCGGCTATAAATATCATCAGTGGCGAAAGTCTCCTTCAGTAAAGCCTTAATTGCGCATCTCTAAATTTCTGACCATATACGTACATAATAGAAAAAGATGTTAAAATTGTATTGAGGGGATTTTAGCTTTCTCACGAAATCGTAATGACACTATTGCAAACCATACCACGGACGGGAATAGAACCCGCGATCAGTGTCTCAAAACTCCAGAGTCGCGTTAGCACGGTTCCCGTCCGTGGTATGGTTTGTTAGCTTTATTGTAGCGGTAGTTCTTTGTAGTTAACTTTGCTCCTCTCACATTCCACATTCCTTCCCCCATTAGTAGAAAAAATATTTGCGCTTGGTGTTTGTCTTTTCGCTTATATATAATTACCAGAAGCCTGTAGGGGTTTTGGAGCTGTGAAGTTTTCAGTATCGCCCAATTGTCAATTTTGGAGCTGAGAATTTGTAAACCTATTTCGTTGTTACTAGTATTGTTTTACTCTGTTTTAATTGTCAATGCTGGATCTCCACGCATTTGTGGGATTCGTTAATTGAACCTTAGCTTCCCTCATCCTCTTCCTCCCTCTTCCCTACTTGAAAGGTCTGTACAATGTAAATACTACAGGCAGTTGAATTAATATTTTTAGGGTGCCTGGTTGCTAAAAATCCTTTTAGTGGAATATGTAATTTTGAGTAGTTTAGCAAATTTTTTAGAACCAGACTCGTGGGGTTCGAGAGGACTCTAATTCCACCCTTCATGGGTTCTATAGTATTTGTTTGATGTCAGTATTTTTTTTTATTGCATAGCTTTAACCTTGGTGTTTATGTAAGGCTGTACTGCCAGGGACAGTGATTTCTTAATTTTAATACTTGGCACATTTTTTTAATTATTCTTCGTTACACAAGTTGAAGATGGGTCGAATGTTGTGGGAACAAGATAAATGGCAGTAGTTTAACATTTTATAATTAGGCCAAGGATATACAGAATTTATGACCACTTAATTACATAGCAATTGATGTGGCAGAAAATCATAAAACAGTAAATTTATAGTACGAGATCTTGCATTTTGATTAAACTTGTTTTAAACGAAGTAACATGCAAACTTCCTGAAAGAAAACTAGGAAACTTTTAAAGGTATTCTTTTCTCAATGTCTTTTACAGTACAACCTGGACCACACCCAGAGGGTGATGCAGCCTGTGAGGTTCCTAGAGGTGGTGGTCTTCAAACAAATTGATTACTACTTGTGGAACACTAAGATGGTAGAGAAGGTGTTAAATCCTCCGCAAGTATCTTATCAGTCCAGCTTCGTATATATGTATAATCTCTCCCGGCTCCTCAAATGGATAGTTGCAGGTAAATTTTACCTTATTTTTAAACCAACTAATGTAGATCTTTGTTTAAAAAAAATGTTGGTAGACTTCAAAGGGTCTGTATAATTTAGTGAAGGCTTTAAGAGCTGTTTTTTTTTAATCCTTTGTCATGTTTAATGACTACATATTCAAGTAATTCTATTTTAATTGTATATTTAAGAATATATTTTAAGCTTGACACCCAAATTCTTCTTAAACAGGTAGAGTGCAGGAATTTTGGGGATGGCGTCTTATCCAGAGCTTCGAAGATTCTCCAAATAGGATAATACCGCTTAGGCTAGCTTGGGAAAAAACTGCTGGCCCCAGTGGCTCTCTGACCCTCTCTTCAAATTACATGGCACTAATCACCAGTGTGGTGGTACCAAGCTTCTCAACTACAGTCCTGCTACACATCAGTACGAAGGAGTTGGTATGTAGCCTTGCCAGTATCACCTCGGTAAATGTTTTTTCCCAGCTTTCCTGGAACAACGTTCCCTGAAAATTAATTATCTTGGTCAAAGAGCACTGGTGATTTGGAATTAAAAGTTGATGTAGAAAATTATGAAGTATGTGAATATACAATCGATGGCAATTTTATTGGTAGACCCTTCTAGTACTCGCTAGGGCCCACCCCCTTGTCCCCAGAACATCATCAGTTCATGGTGGAAAGTTGGTTAGATTCTGGTTAACGTTGATATGACAGCATCACGCAGTTGCTGCAGATTTGTCAGCTGCACATTCATGTTGCGAGTATCCCACTTTCCAAAGATTAACGCAAAATTCTGACCCTACCATCTACATGACGGCAGAAACCGCTATCCTTTGTCGAGGTTTTCATGAGCTTATATCCACTGTTAACATCTTTAGTGGGATTTGGTTTTTGATGCTGTCACTCAAATTTCCGTTGAGCAACATCCATGCATACTAGTCTCGAGCTCTTCGGCTTAACTTGTTTTCCCTAGATCTTTGCCTTCTATACATTTTTCCATAGTCCAGCACATCTAGCTTTCGCCTTCCACCCCTCTGGGTAAACCATGGGCTCACTCTGGTCTTTGTTTTTTCCTGGATATGAACTTCTCTGACTTACACTTTCCGGTCACATACTGCTCACTAGTTCTTTTCCATTGAACCTTGTACAGGAATTGCCTCATGTTTGTCTAGTCCCCTCTTTTGAAGTTTGGATTCTTGCATCCTTTCCGTGCTGTCTCACTCGCAGCTGTTCTCTCCACAAGGTATTCGAAACTCAGGACTGTCATCACTAGCAGAGGCCTTTCATGCGTAATATTTTGAATGCTAGAACCACTCAGGGTGAATGTTACAAACTGCCGGTTCAGCCTCTGTCCGTATCCTTATCAAAGTGGTCATGAAGTTGTCTATTACCTCCAGCATTTTATCCCTCAAGTTTCTGGTCCTTAATGTGGCTCTAGGTTTTCCGTCACTCCTTGTAGTCAGTCCCTCATGACTAGTAGCTTTGCTCTACTCGTAGGCCCTTCTGTCCACCTCAGCTAGTGTATCCAGCATTTTGTTGCTTTCGTCATAATCTTGGCCTTACTGTTTAGTGGAGTTGTACATTACTCCTCTCGGTATCTTGTAACCACTGGTCTTCAGTATACCTATGTAGTCTGTTTTCCTGGTTCATTCTTCCAATCTCCGCAAAATCCACTGCTTTCTGATGAGCATTGATGCTCCTTACCTTATCCTCCGTTCCCCCTTAACTCAAAAACCGATGCACAGCCAGCAGTAGTGTATGAACAAGCAATGAACGGAGACTCGAACTGTGGTTCTCGGAGTAGCAGGCCTAATGCTGTACCATTGAGCTACGAAGCATACAGTAAGATTTTAAAATAATGACTTGTTGAATCAGCGGCACAAACTGTGACACCTTCCCCCAGGTGTCTTCCCATAGACCAAGAATCCTTCGTGGTACATTTATTCGCGTATGTCAATGAGACAGAAGAATAGACGGAAACAGTCATCGGTACAGAAGCTAGGATGTTAAGTTAATTAGGTTAAAGTGGGGGGGGGGGATTTTCTTTTATGAAGGATGGCACCCCGGGATGGTGCTGGGAATGCTATTTCAGACAAAGCCTGTATATACTTGTATACTGCACATACATAAAATGCATGTCGGAAAGTTTCCACTGCTCTGGCTAATTTTCACAGTAATCCTTAAGGATTTGTCAAGTTTAACTAGGTAGTTCTAATTTAAGGGATTCTGCTTCCGTTGTATTGAAATTGTTGCTAACTCAACAGGAATTACTTCTTGTAATTAAACAATTAGGTAAATGTGACCTAGGCGAACTACTGCCCATGTCTTCATGTAAGGTACTATTCTGAGCACTAAATATTTCGGCAATATTGAAGGACCAATACAGACTGCTTATTGGTAAAGGACAAATTTCACCATTTCCCCCCCCCCCCTTTTTTTATCTGCATTGTTGCCAGTTTTGATATTTTGCATATATTTAACTGTTTTAAATTTGAACGTTCCTATCACAAACTATCTTGGGAGGTCATGAAGGCTCGACCAACTGAAGTATTGCACGCGAGATGATGCAGTTCGAAAGGTTAGGTTAAGACCTAGGACGGCCGCGCAAAACTGGAAAGATCTCTATTGGAATAGGTGATGCCTAGTGAATTTACTTTACGTATCCTAGTAGAAAATTGCCAGTATGGAAGTGCTAGGCCTATAAGATACAAATACTTTCAATAACTAGTTCTTTCCTCAGCCATGTTGCCAGGTAATTGCACAAGGAGTGTATCTGGGTACCAACGTAAGGACGGCGAGGTGTTCCTAGTAACGGGGCATGCTTGTAACCTGGGCGACCAAGCCTTCAACAGCTCTCATTCTAAGGTACTATTCCACTTCAGAACTACTTAAAAAAATATTTATGAACTTAGCGTAGTACTGATTAGGTTAATTTTAGGGTAATTTTGAAATGGGCCTGATTTCAGATGTAGATTTTCTCCACTCTCACTTTAAAGGGATATACTTCTAGCGCCTTAAAAATCAGGGGCTGTAGCTACATCATGCTATAGTAACGTCTTTGATATCCCACTTCATAGACACTAACCTCCTGGTCCCTTGTCTCCTGATCAGCCATATTCCGTATTTAACTCTAAAGTGTATTAACAAAGCTTCAGTATTTACATATTTCAAGAACGCAAGAATGAAGGAACACTGCAACAGGCAAACTGGACTAGGCTAGCAGGCCATTCTTAAATTCAAATATCCCCACCCACCTTTGTCCAATCTTGGATTGGCTTGCATCAACAGAAGTCTAATGGCAAAGAAACTGTCCCCATTGTAACTTTAATTTTGTATCAGGGAAAAAAATTATTCGGATTCGCGGTAATTCTTGGATAGTGCTAAATAACTGCATTAGTGTTTTTTTTTTTTTAAATACGTAAAAATGTTTAATATTCGCTCACATCCACGGTGTTAAGAGCTAATTCTTTCTGAAAAGTTTTCAGGAAATGTAACTTGCAATATGGTTGGATGCCTATGAAGTGACAACATTCACATTTACCCTTAAATCCTTTCTTGATTTATAGAGGCACAAATTTGAAGCTTAATAGCTAAAGCTATGTAATGAGTTTGTTACAGGTTTGGGGAGAAGAGTGGGGGGTACGTGTGCACAAAATAAGGATGTCAGGTCGTCCCTTCCTCACCACCTCCATCCGTGTACCTGGAGCAGCAGATGTACAGGTTGGTCCACTGAACACTAAATTTAACTGGCTTGGGTTTAGTGTTGTAATATTTTTTGCAATTATTTCTTTAAGAATATCTGCAGTTTCATTGTGGTCAACACCTGCCCAAAAGACGTGCTTAAATTTAAGCTACCACAGGAATACACAAATGCATTGCTAATGAGTTGGACTGGCAGGTACTGTGGTGGAGAGGTGTGGTGTGCCTGATTGTGGTGGAAACTCTGGGCACAGATACTGTCATACTCTGTGAGAATAGTGCACGAAGATTCTCTGAGAAACAGAGACTACACTCTGTCAACCCACGGAAGGTGAGCATTTTCGACACTCATTCCCCACACTTGTATCAGTGTCAGTTCATTTCCCCTGTCATTAAAGCAGCTGTCGTCTTATGGTACTAGCTCCTCTGGGCTTCCTGGTCACTTAAGTGGGATTCAGTTGCCTCAACATTTCAATGGCTCGCGGCGGGCGTTCCTACAATCTACGGGCTCCCTCTAACCTTCGATGGGAAGGTCTAGAGATGCAAAGGACTAAGAGCGCTAGTTCTTTACTTCTCTAGACCGTATTCAAGGGGTCTGGAATGTCCTCGAGGATTAGTTTTTTTTTTTTTTCCTCGCCGTTTGTGGTTACACTGGACGGCTTTTCCTGCCTTCCTTAGAGCCGGAAGTTTGTCTACATAAGCAGTGGATGGGGACAAGTGTCGAGGCCTACTGACCTTGGCTTGTACGTAATTTCTTGGAGCATGATTTTGATCCCTCAAGGATAAATGACACTTGTGGGTTTAGCGCTTAGTAATGATTATAATCAAGGATGAAATTTACTAATGGGTCAGAGAACATATTTCTTCTGATCACTGGTGAGGGGTCCTTCTGGTCATGAGCAGAGGTTATTACCACTTAGTGGATAAAAAACTGGCAAAAAATTTAATATAATTCGTGTTCTCGTCTTGAGTATGTGTTGTTGGCAGGTATCAGTGGCAGAGCACAGGGATCCGCTGGGCCACAAATGGATCTTCCTGGCTGTGGCCGACCCAGGCACCTCTCCAGACAAGAGAGGAGCTTCATACATCTGGTGGAGCGATCATTTTAGTAATTCATTCAGAATTCTGCAGGTGAGGTGAACAGTCTGGTTGAGATGATCTAATTGTACACTAGACTACGCTGGATTTAAATTTGCGTGTTCACTAATAGCTTGATATTTGCATAAACTTTTAAGTGCACTGACGGAGTGAGATTTCTAAACTGATGCAGAATTTAACGATGTAATAAATTTATTAAACTTACTTTCGCAGGAGTTTGAGCTTTACAGTGTGGTTTGGGTAGAGTTGGCCTCTCACCATAAAGACCTCTATCTTGTCGTGGTGCTAGAAACCTTCAGGGGCGATCAAAAAGGCACAGTAAATATTTACAGGTCGGTTAACTTCAGAGGCGCTACACAGCACAAGTTGCTATAAATATTACCTGCTTAAGAGTCTCATATAACTTGGTTAATAGAAACATTTAAATGTTTTAACTTTTTTTTTTTAGTTTTAACCTGATAAGTTTTTCTAGGATGGACTGGTTTAGTGAAGAGGGAGCGACACCGCTGGGGCACTTCGGCTCTGTGTCAGACACCTTGACTAGCAACGTTCACCAGACGTACCAGGTTCGTCCTAGCTTCCGCTTCATGCAGGAAGTACAAGTGGTGGAGCCCCTGGAGGCCAGGTTCTCGGTCCTACCATCTTCCCCACACCTCGTCCTCTACGTGATCGACCGACAAGGCTTCATCACCCACTTCACCCAGAGGGGAATCCACAGGTCAGTAAACCCAGAGATGTCGAAGGTGGTTTAAATGGGTTAGTATGTTCCTCATCCCTTCGAGTTTTTAAAGTATACTTCATTGATTTCATACTCTTTGGATTGAATATTTTCTTTTTTGCATTTCCTTAAATTCTTCCAGCTCTACTTATTACCATCCATATGTTTTATCTAACATTCCTGTAGCTCACAAAAGTTGTAAGTTTCCATAGTTATTTTTCCCTCTTAAATTAGTCTGTATTCTTCCCTCATCCCTAAACCGTTTCTCGAATCTTTCCAATTCATGCCGACGTTCACCTTAATGAGGCGGTAGTCCTTCCCAGGTGTGGAGGCGCCCCTCAGGAAAGGGGTGACGTGGGGGGACTAATTCAGAGTACATTCCTGATAAAGAATACAACCCCTTTCCTCCCGCTCTTATTGGTGTAAATAGACTTCTTACCCTTAATCCTCCCCCTCGCCCCCACCTTCCGTCGATCTGCACCCCCTCGCTCCTGGAAAACTGGTAAGAGGTAAAGGCTGCTAATTAAAGCTTGCCGTAAAGTATTTTTAAAGTCCGACTTAATGGGCCACATCATACAGTATTTGGACAGAAAGTCAGTTTGGCAACTTTCCTCAGTGTGGCATTTTTGATCTGGCGCATACACCTCGCACAGTAAATGCCTTCTTGTAGGTGCTTTTCGTTAGTCTCGAGTTTTAAAATTTAAATTTAGAGATGCCAACAGTGGACGATCTGAACTAAAGGAAGGTTTTCAGACTGTCATTTTAAGGGAGTTTTAAGCCTATGCGGATTACTAGTCTGTAAGCACAATTAAATAACCCCTTGAATTTTGAGGAACTAACCAACTTATTACTTAGCAGGTGAACACTGCTAGCTAGTGCTGTATAACCTACATCTGTTTTTCTTAACAGAAAATCAGTGTATATATTTTGTGTGTTTAATTGTTAATCTTTGATACTCTCGTTTTAAAGAGGAAGGCGTTGTGTTCTACCAGGTCGTGGTCACCTAAACTGACTTAATTTGCTATTATAACCAATGACTTGAAACTGTCTGAATATTATTTGTTGAATACAATAGGACTAAATATTTTAGAAAGCCTTATAACTTAAAAGCTGTTCAGAATAGAAAATTAATGTAAGATATTGATTTTCGATACGGCAGACTTTGACTATAGTACTTAGCAAATTCTAAAGTAATTTTGTCGGTTCCAGTTACGTAAAAATTCTTTTCTGTTCTGTTCCTTCCATTAACTCTGAAAAGTCTGATTGTAATCCTAACACTTGGTGTACCAGCTTGAAGAGGTGTTCTCTTCACTTTGTAACTGGATTAGTTTGACAAACATTTTTAACCTGTGCTAAGTTTGTAAGGGTTTTAATATTACCAGAGATGTTCTTGTAAGCTACTTGCTTTTAATTGATACTGTTCATGAGTTTCAGTAACTTGTGCGGGGAAGAAGCTATTATGTTGTGCTTTTCAAAGTTACTCTGTAAAATAATGTGATTGTACTTGAAGGTTGTGGAAGGAAGGAGTGTTCCATGCTGCCGGGAAGCAGACGCTGGAAGCCTGGACTACCTACGTCAACGGCACATTAGTCCACAGGATCTCTGTTGCTGGCCAGATGTGCGTAGGCTTGGAGAAAACTGTGCCAGAAGAACGTGCTATGATCCTAGAGGCGATTTTCCGGGGCAAAGAACCTTGAAAAAAAAACTTAATTTATTGGTCATTATCTAGAAAAAAAATTGAGGCAACTTCTGACAAGCCAGTGAAGATCTGAAGACGCAGTGGCAGACTTAAAACTTTGAAAAGAACGCCTAGCGCTAATTATTTAATGTTTGGGCTTGAAAATATTTTGAGGGATAAATTTTTTCATAGACACGCAGCTGGGGTGTCAAAAAACGAGACTAGACATCTTTAACCTAGATAGTAATTAAATTAACGTAACTAGAATAAAAGGTTTCGCTATTATAGCAGTGAAAAAATTTGTGCAAGCCTAAACATTAAAAGTGATAATGCCTTAACGGTGCATTGGGAGGCGATTAAAAGTTCCTTTATGAACCGCAGTTTGCAGCGCCGTCGTCAGTGACAGGCGGGGGTATTTATTATATCAAATTTTATACTTTTAATTAAATACTGCATTAACTACTAGTTTATTGCAATGTATTAGATGCAGTGACCATTTTTATGCTAACTTTTTAAAAAGGTTTTGTTGTCTGTTCACCGTTAAGTTAATTATATTTATTATGCGTATGCTGGTTTGTTAACCTTTACTTTTATAAAGTTGTTAGAGATTACTAAATTTTTATAGGAAACTTAAATTTTCATGAATGCATAAATGAGTTTTTAATGGTAAAAAGTTTTCGCGAATAAAATTTGAAGATAGAAAAAGAACGCTAGCGAAACTCAAAGCTTACGTGACTGATGGAATAGTAAGTGATGTAGTATAAAACTAATCACAGGACAACTGATTTTTATGAAAAAAAATTGCCCTCTACTTTCCCTGGAGCTTTGATCCCTACATATTTAGCGCTTCCCCATGATTAATCCTAACATATGAACACCTTAAATATTTCTATAATAGTGTGTTAAGACTTCTTGTGCCATAACAGATTTGACTTCGACATAATCGGAATTGTAATTCTGGAATAATATATAATCAAGTAAATATGATGATAGGTTTAGGTTCCTGATTTATGCCAACTTTCTAGACGCCACTAGGCTATACTTCTGGGGAAGCACTAGTATCTGCACCTGAGGTGCAGTGATGATAATAAAAAAAAACAATAAAATAGTGTATCGCCCAACGAACGGGGAAGCTTAAAATACCTTATCACAGCTGTTCGGCAGCATCAGTGCACTTGTCCGCCTCCAAGCGTCTTGCTAATACTTGGTTAATCTGCGCATCATTGAATAGCTCTCGCGGATTTGAGCTTTCATGATGAAAGTGTAGAATTCAAAGAAAAATCTCGATAAAATGTTTGACTTTGCCCATGGAATTGTTCGGTATCGGTGTTAGGTTACATACTACACACTTTAATTGCTCCCTTTTAGTGATTTTCTAGAAAAAAATTTTTACACAAGGTGAACATAAGCAGAGGTGAGGTAGGGTGATTACAAGCACTAATTGCCTTCTAACAGTTGCTTTCTGGCTGTGGTTTGGCAGACCAGCCAAGTGGCGATGACCCGACTACCACATACTAGATTCCTCTT